CTCTGCAAAGTGATTCCCCTGGCATCATCATGTCATCCTTTGACAGAGACTTTACGTTTCCAGGAATTGAATCATTTCGCATAGTAAAAATGTATTCATGAATGTTACCTCTGATCAGGTGCCTCATCACACGAAAGTTAGTACAGTAAACATTTTCATCGCTATATTTAAATATGACTGAATGTGTGTATTCCTTCCTTTGTTAATTTATTTTGTGTTTATTGTTCACCGAGAGGTTAGTTCAAGCTTTTCAAATATTGCGTTTTCCTGAACGCAGTCCAGTTCACAAGACGACAGGCCACACTGTGAAATTACACCGTGAGAAAAATTCACATTTTAAACTGATAGCTGGTGATCTTACGCATGTCTTTGTAACAGTAGGAAATTAAGGCCTAGTTCTCAAAATGCTTATCAATATGGTTATTCTGATGGCTTTAGTGATCCAGTCTACATCTGTGATGGTGAAAAAATGTAAAACTGAACTGCATTATCATTTTGATGAAATAATTCATCTCTTACCGTTTTAAAGGACTCTGACAATAATTTATAGCTGTGAGGGTGAGGCACAGCATTTGTTTTTGGAGACTTGATGACCTGTGAAGCGTGCAGCAAACGGCAAGCAACGCTATGTACCAAAACTCTAATGAAATAGACGCTGGAAAATCACGAAAATGGAATTTTCTCTTTGGTTGCACACAAATTACTGTCATGCGTCTATTTCTGCGTTTGTTGTAGGATAAGTTCTATTGGTCGATTTTGTAGAGCGACCATCATAGTAAGTGGCCACCATCATGATGCAGTCACAATTCTTGTGGTAAGATAGTTATAAGCTTTGGACACATGTATCGTGGCATTGATGCATACTAGGCTACATTGAAGAGAATGGAGCAAACCCTACTAATCTGCTCACAAGTAGATGTTAGTAATAGAAATTTGGCATCCACAATGTATTATTAACTTGTATCAGAGAATAAAGGTTTGAAAAATACGGTTGTTCCTGAACTTTGTTCAATAGCCTCCTTAGTCACGTATCTGCATTTCAGGAAAAAAGAAATTTCTGCTTGAAAGTGTTCACTGGCCGCATTATCACAAAAATGAAACAATTCACATGAACTATTACGACCTCTACAATGATTCTAGTATCGAAATATTACTTTCAACTTGTAATACCTCTAGCTGCCACATGTGAACAATATTCTCAGCCTATACCGTCCGCCGTGAGTACACTGGTAAACACTTAATGTTTAATGAAAAATGTCGTAGGCAAATCAGTTTGTTAAATTATTTCGCTTCCCTAAAAATGGTTGTGATTTGCGGAATAGATCAAAATAAATATATCCATAATTGAGTAATATAAAAATCATGATAAGTTTCCTCTATTGACAATGTTTCCAGCGAAAATAAAAAAAATAAAGACATCACTGTGTGAGAACTAATGAAACACAATTAGAGAAAACATGTTGTCCTAAAGTAACATTATCATAATAATAATAATCACTTTATTCATTCGATTTGTCCATTTCTCTTCTCCACAGCTTAAAAATCTAAGTAGAGATAACGAACTCTTTATCAAGAGAAATGATAAGTCAGGTTTAAAAAAAGTTGAATACTCTGATAAAATTCGAAATGCAAAGACCGATTTTTCATATAACAAAAGAATCTTGTCATTTAAAACCCCTTCTAGTTCGCGGAAAATTTTCAAATAAATTACAAGCGGTAAGCAATGAACTTCAGTTCTATCTCTAAATAAGTCTTTAATATGCTCTTCTGTTGTTATCCTTCCCAATGTTACAAATTATATAGACAACAATTTTAATGGTTTTAATACCTTTGATGTGCTCAAACGTCTCCGGCCTCTTAAGCCTTCTCAAAGCCTTGGCCTAGATGGTGTACCTCAGGAAGTGTGCTGCTATTACTGGTACTGATATTGGATCTAGGCCTATTGCATTTAATTCTCTTTTTTAATTGAACGAAATACTACTTTTGCTTCGTCTTGAACTTTCATTGAGACCTTTAAATGACCCTAAATAATTTGCATATAAACATGGTAGAAGTGTGGGGTCCGAAAAAATAAACTTATCCAAATTTTACTACTATGTAACAAATGATCATATTGTACACTACTTTCTACTTTTGTATAATTCTCAGAAGAGGTGAAATGTTGCTAGATTTCTTCAATTAATCATATTACGATGACATTACGTCAGTTACTGCGGCTGTTTAAAACGGTAAAGTCAGATACTTGAGATGCACATTGAAGTGAGCATGGAAGATATTGACAAAATAAGCAGTGCATTCAGATTATTTATTTGGAAGTATACAATCCCATCGAAATCGTCAACTCTAGCTGATAATTTTTTCCATCATTAATTTAAAACTAATGTGCTTTTTGAAATTGAAATATTAATCGTCCTGTGACTTATAAAATTTACACGCTCAATATTTTGTTGTTTTTACGTTTGAAAAAATTCTCTAATAAAAATGTGCTCACAATAACTCTGTATTTCCTCCTGACTCTTTGTTTGAAATCACTGGTTTTGTGTGTTTGTGTATACAGTGTTCAAAAATAATTTACAAAATTCGACTATTGTAACAAAGGTCATCTTCTATGAAATGTGATAACACTAAACTACTACAAACGTACTATGATCACTCTCTATATATAAAATTTCGTCAATACTTTTTATCGAGATATCATAATAATATAAATGTGAGAAAGTAAGTGAATATTTCCAAAGGCTCACATTCGAAGGCAGAATTTACTTCATGTAAGTGCGAATTAGGAGGGTGGGAGTAAGTTTCAAGTATTAGTTTCCAGTTGACGGTAAACAACAACTGCGATGCAGATGTTCACTGTATGTTCGAATACTCTTGTCTAATATTATATGCCTCCTCTATGATGATCGTTTCTTTCATTTCAGCTAGTCTTAGTTGTCCCAGTTGTATCATTTGAATGTGAAATGGGAGGTAAGTCATCCTCATCTCTTTCGTCTCCACATATCAGATAGTCGATCAGACAAATGACCTGCTCGCCTCCATGCATGCATGCATACATTCAAACACTATTCGAATGCAGAGATTTGTCGACTGTTTGGAAAGTGAATATTAGCTACACTTTGAAATAAATCAAGAATAATCGCAACGACTCAAAAAAATGAGCTTAGTTTATTCCACAAAATCAATCACAAAAATGCGCAAAAGCATCTTTTCAATGGATCAAAAACACAAAACTCATTTCAATTACCAAGTGAGATAAAAAGCGCATTAACTCTAAATTCTGATCTGCAAATCACACAGGAGCAGAGATTATTAACAGTGATCGATACAGAATTAAAATATAAATAGATGTTCAAATTTACCTATTGTTGATTCGTGTCACAAATTCACATTGTGGCGACCACTAATGAAGGATACAAATGTGTTGGTTTGGTGCGTTTATGTAAATACGTCAAAAAATCAGGTAAACATTAGTTTGAGTGAACGTTTTTCAATTTTAGTGGGTACAAATGAATTGAAATGAATCAGTAGATAGTCTCGTTTGTTTTATTTTAAAACAATTCCAATAGTGGTGGGAACACCAGCAGTAATTTTGCTGGAAATTTTATAACAAAACTTATCATTGTATGTAAACTATTGAAGTATAATTATGCTTTACATTATAATATCTTACCATCTCCTGACTTATTTTGTAAATCACACTGAAAATTATTTTTTCTTAAGATTCTTATCCTCTTAAATTATTCACTTATATACATATAAACAAAGCCACTAAATTTACTGGGTTTTGGTCTCAACTCAAGTAATTGACCTCTTCGTTTTACTGTATAGCTGGCTAATTATTGATTGAATTACTAAAAGACAAATGTTCCAAACGATGGACAAATGTTAAAATGTTAAAAGAAAATTCATGATTGGCGAAACAAAATTGCATTTCTGGTTGTTTCAAAGCATACTATTAATCTGCCTTAGTTCTGAGTCTCTTAAGGATTATTTACAAATACGTTCACTAAAAATCTTTTTTTATAACAACCGTCAGTATGAAACTTCGTTGAAAACATCTTATTTGGTTCAAACGTGTTTGCGAACGTAGAATTCCAGTGAGAGGTCAGAAGTACTGTTTTGTACTTGATTATGCGCAAGCCAGCATTATGAACAAAGATTCAGTAATCAACCTCACTCTATACCCACCCATATTACATTTAATAAATCTAGCCCTATCTCAAACTTTTATGTGTGATTCACTGGAATGACAGGCTTTCAGCAACTCTCTGCGGTCTTTGCTGTTTCCTTTTCCTAATATCAAGGTGATATGATTATGAGCAATAGTTTGTGCCCGAAACGTCATCTGTTAATATTACCATGTAACACGGTGATTTATGAAATCAAAATTTTATCCATACCAAAATGCCCAAGTTTTATATCTATAACAACTCTGAAATTCCTTCAGGTAAGGATTAATTACAGGTTCTTGTTCCTCCTATGTATTTGTGAAATTACTTTTTGTATAATGAGAGAATGATTTCCTGTCATAACGACTAGTTATTGGAGGGTGAATACCAAGTAGCTCAACCAGGATATCCCGCCGGTGGTTCCATTATTAACAGATGTACGGCATCATTTACATGCGTAAGTTTACACAGTTGCAGTAATTATCAACATATTCCAAAAAATGAAAGTTATTTTAGATGATAATAATTTTCAAATTAATATGAAAGTTTGTAGTTGCGAAAAAATGTGAAATAGTTTTGTTTAATAAATGCAGGTGTAAACGGGATCAGCATGGAGACAAATTGACACCACAGAGGTAACAGGTTTTGTAAATAAAGATCACCACACACAAGCGAATAAAAATGCCAATAAATGTGAAAACTGAGGAGTTAGACACAATTGTCTCACTAATTTTCCTCATTTTTCCCGTCATTCCATTGCTCTTTTTCACTGTCAGTTAGAAAAACCAATATACCGCTTTCATCCTATGGACAGCGCATCCATATATACATATATGTATATATATATATATATCTGTGCCGGAGAAACTATACCTCACTAATGTCTCGATGGTGATCTATCCAGGATTTGAATAAGTACGGAGATTTCCATGGAATGAAAATTTATCGCCTTCAGTGATACATGAATGAATAACATCCGTAACAGTGTGGAATACGAAATAAAAACACGACAAGTGATGCATTTATAACTAAATCTCTCAGAAATGTACTTTTCGGTTACTTGGTTATGCTACCGAGCTATCTAGATTTATATTGAGCAGAAATTTTTTGGTAAATTTAGCCTATTTCAAAATAAATAATCTAAAGTTTAATTACTTCGCCGAGGAGTAAAGGTTACTCGACCCGACTTTTTTTATATTTTCAGCTTAATGTCTTAACATGACGGAAGAATATTTTGTAAGGAACATTAAAGACGTACAACATCATTGGGGAAGTTGAATTTCTTCTACGTGGAACGAGATATTCAGGTAACTTACGCTCGTCACTTATCAATTTTACTTGAATCTGGTTAGTGCATTAGAATAAAAAGAGATCGCGTATAACGGCGGGTCAAAAGTTAACAATTTCATATATTTCCCTCATCTCCTTAATAACTGACTATGTATCAATGAAGACTTTAGGAAAGGATGGAAGACGACAAGGGCACATATGATGGAGGTCACACAGGCAATTGCACTTTTATGGAAGATTTCGCAGCTAAGTAGCAAAAACACCACTTGACAAGGAGATACAATGACTAGAAAGCTGTCGTTTAAAGACTTCTTTTACTAAATATGAAGAGGGTTTATTCATGTTACTCAGTATCTCACCTTATTTCCAAATGTATTGATTCTATTCCAAAAGCTCTCTAACACTCACATTTAAGAATAATTTAAATAGCTTTATTGGCCTCACCTATACTTGATTCAGTCTTCACGTGAGTTTAACATCGTTGTCTTTCTGACTCAATTATGAAAACATATGATGGATTTTTGAGCGAAGCATACTGACTTATAACCCTGAGATAAATCAGCAGGTATTCAAATTCTCTCAGTGAGAAAATGCCAAACCTCGTGAAAACGAGAATCTTCACTATCTGACAGAATCGCTGTACACAAATGAAATTGTATTTTTATTGCGGAAACATTTATTCATTTCAAAAACTGGAAACCGAAACTGTCACCCGTTGATGGACAACAGAAAATACTTGTTCGCTCAAAACGTAAATTACAATGAAAATGTCGTAGGAAGATGAGAAACAGTCTGGCGGCGTTGAATTTATTTCAGTGAACTGGCAAAAGCCAGTAGCACCTGCAAAATATAAAGCAAAATTATGACATCACGTCCGTCTAATAAATTGTTGCATTGAATTTATTTAGTAATTGACACTTGTCAATGAAATAAGCAGTTAAATCTACATGAAATATGGTTTAAGATTGTTTTATGATGTCGCCCATTTTATTAAGGCATATCAAAATGTACTTTTTTCTATTAGGTCCTTCATTTTTGTAATGGATTCACATATCGAATCCGAAATTAATGCTAACTCAGAAATCGTCCATAAAAATTCAAACCAAAGGTGGGAACTAACCACGACTAAAGCTGAGTTCCAAAAGCAGCCAGCCAATTGCATCCAAAAGTTCTGAAATATGTGGAATAAAATTATGATCACAATGCTGACCACAAATGATAGCAGGTTAAATGCATAATTAAAATCATGGTTATTGAGTGTTAGCATTAAATGCCATGAAATATTAGGAGATATTAAAGGGTGTAGGTACAGGGAAAGAGTGATCACACAATTCCGACGAAGCAGTGTGATATATTTGGTATTAATGCAACGATTCTTTTAAGTAGGATTTCAGCTTCACATTTCCTACCATTACGCAACATGATGTTATCGCAAATAAGTGAGATATTTTTCCCAGATTTGAGAAATCACTGCCACTAGTGAATTGCTGAACAAGTACTTGTTATTTTATTTCTCCTACCTTGTTAACATGTGCATGGTTTTTCTCAACAACATAGAGATATATAAACGACTAAAAATGTATCTTAATAATGTAAATATTAACACAAACGTTGTAAATGCAGGAATGAATTTTACAATAAAAATGTGCACCTGACACTTCAATTCACTTACATCACCAAGCTTTACAAAATACAAAGCAAATCCGGTTATCAGAAAAGCCGCCGATAGAGACATCATAACTATGTTCACTGCTCGTTTGAATCGTCTAGTCAAGATGGAGAAGATGATTGTTAGCAAGACTTCCAGAAGAATGAATCCCAATAATGTAAAACATTCTGATCCGGGATTTTCGCAGCACACAATAAAGATGTTCGCAGAGAATAGTACAATCTGTTGTCAAAATAAAATGAACATTTTCAGCGTGTTAATATCCATGCATTCCTATTTTTCATGAAATGTATGCCTTTACCAAATTTTATGTGAAGCGACACGAAAGTTCGTTTCATATATAGTTATTTTCGGCATGCGGCACTATGGACAGTCAGCATGCAAACTTGTATCTAGACCATGTATATTGGCTCTTACGACAACAGTAGAGGGATTATATATCCCAGAATTCAATGTACCTGGTTTCGGTTCTAGTTCCTATTTTGTGTGATAAAACCATTTCTACGCTCTCCTTCGCACCATCGGGTGTATGGTTTCATTTCTCACTGTATTTATCAACTCACGCTAAGTGTTTTTTACATTCACGTCGGTAAGACTCATCAATTTCTGCAATACACATTCCTAAATGGCTGGACGAGTAAATACGTTCACCTGATTCAAATAAATTTGAAATATCTTTATTAAGTGCCATCTATTGGAAAGCATATAATAGATAGAGGTAACAAATATGTTCTTGGTAATGCTATTTAACCGGTTTCATAAATAAGTTGGTTCATTCACTTAAATTTAAGTTAAGCACAAGTCATAAATATAAGTACATGTGTGATACAGTTTTATGGTCACGGTTTGCCCATATAAGTCTCGAATGGTCTTTACACAAAGACGTATAAATTGGTAGAGCATACAGGTTGTATCAAAGAAAATCTTTCGAATTCTCTCTTCTAGTAAGTAGCTAGCAACTTTATACCTCAAGTTCAATACATCATTTAGTTAGTAAATTGTGGTAGTGTGCAACAACATATAGGTTAAACAGAACTATATAGATGAACATTTTTCTATATATCGGTGTAAATAAAACGAGCGAGGCATAGGTAAAATCCATTTTACGCCAACAGAATATTTGCTCTTCAACTCATGAAAAAAATAAACCAATCCAATATGAGAAGAAATAAGTCAGAAAAATGTTTAACAGAGAAATCACATTTTTCTTGAAAGTAGACGTGAATATAAAACAAAGGCTCTGAAGTATGTTTTATCTGAAAATGGATATTCAGAGAGGTTTATCAACAAATGCACCAAAGGAATCAGATTCAATAAAATTACCTTGGTTGTTCTCGAAAGAATCAAAGACTTCCAAATTGTTATCTCATGGAAACGTCGTACAATATGAATATATTTATATATATAGCTTTTTTAGATATGGTTGACCACTCGAATGATGGCATATTTGGCAAAGCAGCTGAAAGCATCTGAAGTCAGATTCATAGCTTAACTTTCAGTAACAATGCATCAAGTACACTACTCATCCGATATCGACGCTGTCAAGCCATTAACTGCGGTTGGTAGGCGAACAAAGTAAGATACTTTCGACAGGTGGATGGTTTGTGCAATTGGAGTTTATTAACCCAATCTCTTTGTACTGATAGAAACTATCAGTCGTTATCCGTCATGGTTATATATTTTGCTCAGTAACTGTTGTCCCTACTTTGTATTATTATACTTTATTATCACTGTTATGAATTCTAAACAAATTTATTCTTTTAATACTCTTGATTCAAATTAATACTAGTATTACTACTGTTATCACTATGAGTGAGTTTGTAATTCTGTCGACATTTTATGAATTTCTCAAATCCTACTTCTTAATGTTTGTTGCTTAGCTTGCACTAATCTATTTTCGAGTGAGCTGGCACAACAAACACAAAATGATCGTGAGGAAATGAAGTCAACTCAGTTACTTGATACTCTCATAAACTTACTATGATTCCTGTAAGGACCAAGGCAACTTTTATATTATTACTGAATTTCAAGAATAGTATTATACACAGTATCACAATCAGTACCCTGAAATACAAAGAGGAAACAGCTTTATCAAACAATAGATGCTGTAACAGGGTTACACATGTACAGACAGTCGATACTGTGATGTTTTGGTAATGTATAGCTTTTTTTTTGTTATCATAAAAGGAAAGATCATTAGTAACATTTTTTCCTTCACGTTCAGCCAGAGGCTTGACGTTCCTGTAGCAGTGTTAATTTTTACAAAATAGGGTTGCTAGCCTCATGCTCAGCCTAATCGGTTTACCAGTCTCACTACTGGCTTAGCGAGGTGAAGCAGTGCGTCGGTCGGGGATCGAACCTCACACCATTTGCATGATCGGTGAGCGTCCTAACCGCTGTGCCACCGACGTCCACTAATAACGTGATGAAAAGAAAACTCCCGCATAACTCCAAATGTTTTGGAACTATTCCTAGCATACTCCTAGACACTAGGTTTAATAAGTATTGCGCTGGTTTTCAGTTTCTTGGTCCTACATATTATTCAAGATGAGACGAATTCTATTGAGAGATACCACTGAAATATTCAATATCCCTTACCCACGAATGACCATTCCGTTAAATGTTGTTAAGTATACACTAGTCAGAATTCCAGTGATTGATTTAGTATCCGAGGTATTCATTGTTTCCCTACTAGGAAAGATAGCAACGCTCGAAATCTTTCCTGAGCAGGAGACGTTCACACGTAGAAGAAAGAAAATGGCACTCCTGAAATAATCAATCACTATGACGGTGATCACGAAAGAACTTGTCATTCATGAATAATAGAAAATCCCCAGTAAACCTTAAAGTTTAATCAGATGGCTTTTGCATATACATAATCTGAACAGTGAACAACGAAATCATCGAGCGTAATGAACAGAACCACATCATATAAAATATAATTCCTCCACTTATTTTTAGTCAACCTGTTGGGGGGTTGAAGACACCACATATCCTACTTATAAACGATCAAGTTATAATTCGAATCCAGTTTATCATTTAGTTATGTAGCTAGTTTGATTCCAAAGCTCTAGTTTATCACAACTGAATGATTTGATTCGTAGGATTATAATCGTCAGATGACATAAACCTTTTTACAGCCTTATGCTACCAATAGTGCCAACTTCAAAGATGTATGAAAGCGAGACTTACATGCAAGCGATTGTTGCGTATTGCTGCCATCTGTTAGTAGACATTATACCAACCTGAAGAATAAAATAATAATTACATATAAGCCAAATTTCTAACACCTCTCAAAAATAATCAATGCGAACAGAATAGAGGAATCAGTCATAATATTTTGTTTGCGATTGATATAAAGCTGCCAGACGTTGATATGAGAAAAGACCAATCAATCGTTATCTCTTGCTTTTGGGCGCGAATGTTTGATGCATAGAAACATCAACCCTTAGACTCCATTAAACGCAATTTACGCATGTTAAATCTTCAGAATCCTTATTAGCGATAAAACTAGTGATAAAATTATTTTCATGTGAAAAGTACAAGTCGTATTGCAGGATAAAGTGTGTTTTGAATTCAAAGTCATATATAGATATATTTCGATTTATTTCAATATAATGTAACAAATGCTACTGAGATTATGGTTATGATATATGGTAAAAATGAATTGTTTACCTGAGAAACAGTCTCCATCGAAATTTCGACGTAACAGTATTGCCACAGAGAAATGCTCATCTAATGTTTAATTATATCAGTCGCATTCTGTAGACTTTGATTCGTAGTTTTTTTTCACGCATGATCAGGTGTTTATTAGTTGCTATCAAAACACTCATTTGACATCAACTGTTTTTTTTTTAATTATGAGCAAAATGAATTCGTTGCGTAAATGTTCAGTTTGAACATCAAATGACGACCAAAAATTATTCTACTTTGAATTACGTATACTTATTTGTCGAAAAGCGCTGAATGCATACAACAAAAAAATATGAAATCAATCAAAAGTGAGTGATGATAACAAAATTTGCAGTACGATTGTGTGCGTATTCGTCTGTAAGTTCAGCTTCTACTAGATTCATTTGGAATAAAATATTGAAAGTTTCTAAAGTTAGTGAACAAAGAGCATAGAAGAGGCGGAAAGAGCTTGTGAAAAGACTTTAAAGGAAGCCAGAGGCTGGTAAATTTCCAGGAGATCCCAAAACGTGCATTGATTTATATAAGGTGCAACTTGAAGTACTTTCCCTTGGCTTTCGACTTTCTGATAGATCGAAACGAGTTGATCACTTAGATACTGATACTAAATTTGAAAACCTATTTGACCAAACTAAAATCTAGTGCGTCTGTAGCATAGCGGTTAGGACACTAGCCGACGATGCACATGGTCCGGGGTTCAATCCCCGGCCGACGCACTCCTTTACCTCGCTAAGACAGAAATAATGCTGGTAAAGAGGTAAGGTTGGGGATGAAGCTAGCAACCCCATCCTGTAAAATTAAAAAAAAAATGAACACTGCTACTGAAACTTCAAGCCACTAGCTTGAACCCCTATTTTCCACTGGGGACGTGAAGGAAAAATTATTTATTATTTTTTTAAAAATCTATTTCCATCATCCACTCTGCAATCAGAACGCTTCAAATCCAGTCTAGTGGAATGTTATTATCTGTGCAAAAACCTCAATTCGACAGTTACATTTTCTTGACAAAGAAGCACAGAGAAGAACTAAAAAATCTGAAAATGATGCGATACTGATAATCATGAAGTCTGATAAAAGAATCTATGGTTGTCCTCTTTAATATAAGTGACTATATTAGAAAGGTGAATGATATTTTGGAGGATACACCGAAGTTTCAGAAATTTTAGGAGAAAAAAGACATCTATGACAAAATAAAGAATGAACTAACCAGACGTTTGTAGCAACTATAGGAGGAGCAGATATTTTCTGAAAATTTATATGAGGAAATCAAGCTAACAGGCACGTATGTGCCATGATCGCATGGCCTACCTTAATTACATAAACCAGAAGAATCGTTAAGGCAAGTCCTTATATGCTAAATTTGCCCTACCATGCTTAGCCAAATGGTTATAAATATTCTCAAACCTTTGCACAAGAAGGTAGTGAAATAGAACGTCAAAGATGTATTTGAATTCGACAAAATTAAAGAAAATAATATCAAGAAAAAACCAAGAAATCTGTAGACATAACTTCTTTATTCACAAACAAACCCCTAGTAGATACAGTTAACTACATATGTGAACAAGTGAATAACCAGTCAATAAATATTGGCATGCATACTGCAATCCTATAAGAATTGATATTAAGATGTACCATAAATTTCAATTTCAAATTTAATGGCATGCTTTACAGGCAAGTGGATGGAGTAGCGATGGGCTTTCCATTGGGCACCATTCCGGCTGACTTCTTTCTAAGTAATCTAGAAAATGGACCTCTGAACAAACTTATCAGTAAGCTCTCATTTAATTACCGATTTATGGATGATACCTTTATTCGTTGTGATAATGGTTCTGATAGGAGTTTATTAATTATTGAACTCAATGAAGTACATTCGGCTATGAAATTCACATGCGAAATGGAATCTCGAGATAGAATTGCCTTCCTGGATGTCCTACTAACAAGAAAACCAGATGATAGCATAAAAAGAAATTTGCATAGAAAAATTACTTGGACAGGACAATATACACATTTTCACAACTTCGTTCCTATGAAGTACAAAAGAACTGTAGTGAAGACCCCCAGGCACAGAGTTACAGCTATATGCTCAGAAGAAGTAACTGAAGACGAATTAAGTATTGTATATGATACTTTGATCGAAAATGGCCACCCCGTCAGATTTATCAAGAAACACATGACAAAGAAAACGGATAAGGACTAATCATTATCTGTAAAGAAAGAAGCCTCTTTATATACGACTACAATTCAAGGGCAATATACCAAGCGAGATAATTACAAAGAAATTAAGAAAATTAGTTCAAAGAACTTTTAATGCTGGCGAACTACACGTATTATTCTCTACACGACCGATGGTGATTCTTCGACTGAAAAAAGAAGTACCTAGACTAGCCACTTCAAATTGTATCTATCAATTCAACTGCGCTTGCGGAGCGAGTTATATTGGCCGTTGGTCTAGGAACTTGATGTTTCGTGCTCGAGAACATCTCCCAGCATGGTTAAGTAAAGGTGTAGTGAAAACCGTTAACAGCTTGATATTGGACCATCTGGTGCAAACCGGCCACAAAGCCAGCCTAGAATAATCCTTCTGTCTAATATACCGGGTGCTTAATAAATTACCAAAATAATCGAAGCACCGCGTGCTCCAAACAGCAGAGGCTATTGTGATTCGCCTCAAACAACCAGCGCTCTGTGTTCAAAAGAAGCAAGTCCAGCCCCTAAAATCGCCCTGGCCTTCGGTAGAAATTATAAACTCATGCGTTTGTAATATTACCTTTCCTATTTTTTCTGACATTCGGCTTATTTTATGTTGATGCAATTCAGCTGTAATCTATCAATATTATTGATTTGATGTTATTTAAACATTAATGTTGTTCATAACACTAACTCATTCATTCACTATTATGTGTATATAAATGCAGAGCTTGATGATAAATTTATCGAAAATAGTACTGTATGTTTAGTATCCACTTTTTTTGAAAATCAATAAATGCTAAATACTAGACTGTACTAATGTGCATCTGTGATAATCCAAAAGTATGATGTGGGACTGATTCAAACTGATACCTGCAGCTCATGACTGATATACTGAATCGTAGTTGATAAGCGAATACTGAAAAATTCCAACCTACATACCACAAGAATGATTGGTGCTTAAGGGTGTTTGCTTCAGCTTTTCTACTGTTGATATTGTATGCTACATGATGCATGTGTAAATTAAGAGATTTACGTACCAAAAGCTTAGCTTCCCTTCTTTAGCCAATAGTTTGATGTCACTGCTTACTTCAACATGTGGTAAAGCTACTTGGACACCAGCGTCAGGAGACTAAGAATGAGCACCAAAATTCTATTCGGAACTGTCCAGAAGAGTCACTGAAAGTGACGAAGAGACGTGTGAGTAGTTTGTTTTTAAATTAAAATAATTGCGAAATCTCCTCAGTAATGTACATTGACTATGATAAACAGTGGATGCTATCACCTTAACAATGGAACTGCGTTTGGTTCATGTCTGCGTAGTAAAAACGTAGAAAAATATCCAGCATAAAATATGCCTATGATCTATTTTGTCACTATAACACTAGAGGACACTTACTGCCTGCTTATGTTTAAAGAATACTCTGCACCACGCCAATAGTTAAATCGTCTGAACTATCATTTCAATGTTTTCAAGAGAAATAATTCTCAAAACATTTATGCGAATTACACTTATTGTTCTGAGTCATTTTTATTATTGGATAAATGGGACTTTGTTCAACGCTAATTACAATCAGTAGTAAAATATTGAAATGAAAATTAGTGTTGTCTTTTTTTGTTTACTTTACTACTCTCCACTTAATCATGAATGTACTGAAGCATATGACTTTGGAATATTTTGAACTGTGTACCCCAAAAATTATCCAATGTGCTCGTCACTAAGCTTTAGTTAAATGAAAAAACATATTATTTTAAACATGAATTCAACAAATGTCTGATTTATTAGAAAGGAGGTGCAAAGTTTTATATTGCAAAAATTGAATTCAATAAATAATATTGTTGTGTTCAGTAGAAGTTTTAATAATGAATTAAGATCTAATTAAGGATAGGGATCATCAAATAAATATGAATATTCAGCATAAAATTATTTAAAGATAAAGGATAGAACTTAGGCACTGTACAGGGGGTATACAGTAATATTTAACGATGACGTTTCAAGCCTCATTTTATTTTATCCATTAAAAAATACAGATATTACTAATAATACTGGGAAATAGAACACTATACGGCACCGTATGAAAGTGTAAAATAATTTGAAACAACGAATCACTGTAACATACTATGCCTGTTAATAAACGACTAGAAGTTTGAGAATAACTATATTTTACTGAAGCACACAGAAAATGATTATTATTTACTGATAATGCGTCGAGCATAATTTACAACTGATAACCCTGCGAATGCGTTCAAATTACCTTCAAACTTCACTGAAATAATTTTCTATGTCCTATTGTTTGATATCATTGATAATAATGTTTTGATAACTCGGATATGGACGTTTTGTAGTCCATATTCCACGTGTAAAGTATAGATTCTATGAAAAAGGTTTCAGTGGTCTATATGTTCGCTCACCAACTTATATTCCATTTACGTCGACTGCTTAATCTCAGATGACTGTCTGACTGCAAGTTAGTGAATTCACTAAGATTACTGCGTGTTCCTTTATTCTACAATCTTTGATAACTTAGCCGAAATTTTATTTTCCAATAATCTGTTTATCCCCGATTCGCTGAGCTGAAGCACACATCTGAAAATGGGACGGATTATGTTAGCATTTCATTTTATTACTCAGAATTATGCAATAGACCAAATCTCGAAAGAATCATGAGAATCTTCTGAGATATTAGGTTGAAAAGAGATGGTTGACAAGGGAGCGACTATGAAGCGAGAAAAAATGAAACACAATGTATTATCATAATTTGATTTGTGGGATTTTTCCGGTCAGATGGGATATTCATGACTGTAATGACATCTGCTGAAGATACATTACATGATTAATACTGCTAGAACCCTCGTGTAGAGATATACATAATACATGAACTAGATTCAGCGTGGCAAGAAAAAACACACTGAATGCATTAGTTCAGTAAGACGACTAATCACAGACGACTAGACAGAAGCAGCTAACCACTTTGATCTTATCCTCCATGTTGCATCCTCAGATATAAAGACTGAATTTCCTGTTAAATAACACGTCATATAAAAATGTCTTTCACCCGATTTCTGCTCAATTCTAATTTGGGGGCAGATATCCACGGGAAATTTCAGCTAGTGGTCTCACTTGTTTTTGCGAATCGACAATCCTTCTCAATGGCTGAATTTTCAGACGGCTCGCTTTACATCGAGTTGATAATATCTGGGTGTTTTCATATGCACAGGATATGTGAAAGATTGTTCACTTTTGCACATGATCAAGCAGAAATCACTAATATCAGTTGAAGATTTGAGCACTTTGGAATAAGCCAAATAAACTGTAATAGTATGCAAAATATATATGCACTATGATACGTTTTCGTTTTCGATGATACTTCGAGTAAAATTACTGCTCATGATAATATCAACTTTTGGAATTGTTTTGCTTTTCTCACGCTAAAGATCTTTGACTTTTGCTCGATATAAGTGTAAGAAAGATGAATGCGATGAACTTTTTCCAGTTATTGAGAAGCAAACACATAGTAGAAAGATTCCCAGTATATTACATCCCATAAAGTTAATCAGCCAAATGTGGAGATGTACTGCAAAGGGATGTAAATTGCCGCTAAGAAAGCATGACAATCTCAACGGTATAATATATGAAGATAGCCGGGCATGAAAGTAGAACAGATAAACTCTGAAATCAGGTCCTCAGTTTTCCAATATAATAGTTACAGGTTATTATTTTACCGCTGATGGCCTGTGAAGCTGAAATTTTCAAAACAAAGTATATAGTAGGCTGGACACCATAAAAGCTCATTAATAAAATAACCATAGATGGATGATACTTAATGCTATTGATTAAATTAACACCTTTTATACGAACTAGTAGTACTTGTTGCTCGCTCAGATAGAAATAATAGAAACTATGAAAATCCATCTAACTTGTCTCAGTCCCAGTTTATCGATGTCGCACTTGCTTCATCATAGCTGCAAGAACCAAATCAGACTGAATCACTTGAACTCAGTCATAATCAGGCTAGTGAATGAACTCTAGTATTTCATTTAAATGCCGTCAAGCTACTGTCAATCAGTAATATAAAATATCAGGCATAAACTGAAAGATCTTGTGAAAGGTAATCTATTTTAATTTTAGATCATATTTTCGTCTTTTTTGCTATTACCACTTGTGGATGAGAATTTCTGAAAGAATCTCTTTTATCCTTCGGAACACTCGTCTCTTCAAAAAGTCCCTGAAGGAATTATCACGTGAATATGAACCTTCTATTTTTCGAATCAACATACAGTCCTCATTTCAGAAAATGTTCACTTTCAGTCATAAGAATAGAATCAGGCTTGACAAAACCAATCCTCATAAGATATTTACGAGAATTCAACTGCGAAGAAATAAAACATGAAAATTATCTTTGACTTGCAACGTGTATAAATTACTCAACAGCCTCAAGCTTTGACGGAACCTATATGCATAAATAACATCGTATCTGACTCCCCTGTATTGCTGAAGACTTGGGTGTCAGAACAGAAAATCTAGATTACTGAATAGAGAAGATATCCAGTTAACATCTCCTACCATCCCTGATTCAAACACGCTCTAATAAAAGATGAAAATCCATATCAATATTTAAGAAATACTAACTCACATTTGTAATTTCAATTCGAATTGTCACTGGTGAAATTAAATCGTACTAAAAGCAGTCAAAATAAAGTGAGGACAGAAAGCTAAACTCGACAATAAGAATACCTAAACAGCAAAGCATAAACGTTGATGCATATGGCTCAATGAACCAAACATTATACAACATTTTCAAACTCCTTGCAAAGCATGAATAACACGACAAATAACATTAATTAATTTGCTATTCGATATTAAATTCGACTCTCAGCACAAAGATTTTATTTGCATTCCACACTAATAATAATAACACATGTATTCACACCTTCCGTTCATTTCATTCACATCGACTGAATTGATTTTAGGTATAGCTCTCTTACAAATTTTCAGTCTAACCACCATTAGATGGGGCTAATACGATGTCATCACATGTGGGAATTGTTGACGCCAAACCTAATAGAAATAATACATATAAGAATTCGTGAACACAAAACTAACTGAAATTCGGTCCATCATTTAGGTCAGAACATAAACTCAGTCCATAACCCTAGATTTCCTCCGTTTATCGTCATTATTCTTCAGAATATATTCAACAGTTAGCACAAATGTATTGAGAAACACATCCCAATAACCTCATCCATCTCAAGGACTGAGGAAGGCAATATTTACATGCAACTGACCACTGCCTAAATCTGTCACTTGAGATCATCATTTCCAAGTACCTGAAAAAGATGTTCATTGAATATGAGTTACGATTTTTTTTTTTTTTTTTTGATTTACAGCTTGATTCCACACTGTATTTTTGGTACAAGTATGGAATTTTCAGCATGGATATCGGTAGCCCAAATTTTGCAGGCCAACCATAGATATCAGGTGTGCGCCGGCGTGGGCTCGAACCCCGGACCATGTGCATGGTCGGCGAGAGTTCTAACCACTGTGCCACCGACGCGGATTATTGATACTAAACAAAATTGAGAAAGCTGTCACTAATGTTTGATGTATAGAAGTTGCTTGCAGATGTAAGCGATATCATGAGAGAACATGATGGTACAATAATTTCGTATGCCAAACACCACAGATGTTAGAGTTGATATATTACAAGGAACAAAATGCAAACACATGGGATTCCGGAAATTCGGCATGAAAGAACTATCCGTTTACAAATGTGAACGTTATAAACCTCAGTGTCAGCGTTGGATATTGCGGTTCATTATAAACAGGATTCCTTTATGCACAACTCAGGGATGTAATATGGTCAGAATCCTAATTGACATCGGAATTCGAAGATAGCCATTTTATGTGGACAATGCAAATAACGTTATGGGATGCAAAGTTTTTTGATTGCAATTTCACTGTTGAATATGTTCTACTTTATTTTAATATACCGTTTTTATTATTTCGCCAGTAAATTATGTAGAAAGATACTTAGAAATACATGGAGAAAAGACTTTCTTTCAAAGCCATATTTCTATGACGAAATGATCCCCCCTCAATATCGATACCAGGCGTTAAACAGCATAAAGCATGGAATTATGAGATCTGAAGGCAAAATGTCAAAGCCACAATGAAGCACTTGAGATCAGTCAAGAAATAATGAGTTGACACATCCATCTCATTCCTCATTTTTTGATTCAGAATTTTTCATATCCATGAGTAATTGTGCAATAGCTACTACTAAAGGATTCAAATCACACGTTTTCTTTATTGATATGCATAATGAAGTCAGCAGATGAATTTTCAGTCAAAAATCAAAATTGCGAAGAAAAAAATGTTTTACTTTGAAATAAAGAGAGTTATTTCGAGAAACATATTGAGATCATGGAAACTTTCGACAAGAAAATGGTCAAAATTATTCGGTGGAAACCTAAATTTATCATTCG